CCCCCCCCAAAAAAAAAAAAAAAAAACTATACACTTTTGCATGTATCAAAAACCTCTAAAAGTCTAAGAATTGGTCAAAAGAAAGGTTATTCATCCAACATAACTGTTATGTGTATTAACTAGAAGTTGATAGATTCATATTTCAGAAATTCAAATTCCTAATTAAATACTTCTAAGTGCGTTTTGTATCTTGTAACCAATTTGTGGCCAAAAAAAAGCCTTTCCAACTGTCACTAAACCATTCAAGTGCATAACAGAGAAAGTCATTCTAGATATAATAAACCATTCAAGAACCTTTTCACATATCTACAAATATACTAACCTTTACATAAGCATTACTAATATCAAAATACTTGCCAGTGAAAAATCTACCGCTGGAAAAAGGCATTGATAGTCACTGATGCTTCTCCTATCACAAGGATGAACACCCTGCAAAATTATTTTAACCAGGTTATAAATCTTTTTTTCATTTTTTTTTGGGGGGGTAAAAAGAAGCACACCAGATATTACATGCCAAGATTAGCAAGAGTTCTAGAAGCTTCAGTTTTAACCTTATAGAATTAATAAATATGGACACCAAACTACCTTTATAGCAAGAAAAATCGGGGGTTTCTAACAATTACCCAATTGAAGGCTAAGCAATATATTCAAATTGTGAGTTTACATATTATAAACCCGACATAGTATGCTACTTGCTTTCTATAGCAACTCTTAATGTTCTATTATTGTGACAGCAATAAGTGTCAAGAAGAACACATCTGTTAATAATTTAGAATACCTTTTATCCAACGGTTATGTTATATAGAATGAATATTCTTTCATATTTTTTTACAAGATACACATAATATTAGTAAGTATTTATCCTTTACTTTCCATTTTCGATGATGTCAATTTGTCAAATTTTGTATTCAGTCAGCTTTTTGGTTATATTAGCAAAATACAGATGTAATTACTTTGGTATGGGTGCAAACTAAACAACAAGTAAAGTGAAGTTTACTTGACATGGAATGCTAGTGAATTGTTAAACAAAAGTATACTTTCATTTAACATCAACATGGAATGCTAGTGAATTGTTAAACAAAAGTATACTTTCACTTAAACATCAATAGAATGGTAAGACAACTACATAATAATACATTATGTTTATGATGCGCACCAATAAACAAGATTACAAAGAAAATTTGGTACTTCTACACATGTATCAAAAAAATTAACAAACTATAAACCCTAACCCTAATGGGAAACAAACAACAAATTCAATGACCAGCCAATCTAAGAACCATGACTGAACTCAGGTGAAGTAATTAAGAGCTTTGAATCTCCTTAGCTGCTCATTCTACTCATTCTCACATTGCACTAATAATTCCCTATTTTTTCCAAAACTCAAATATTTTTCATCTCCTTTCACTGCATTACTAATATTCCGAGGATCTGCTCTTCTCTTACAGACTTTGTATTGAAAAACTGGAAGGGAAAAAAAAACAAAATCATAGAACTACAGTCACTCAAACTAAAAACTGGAATCATCATTATGTTTTATCAACTGACCTTGCAGATTTCATTAATGATTCACGAAGTATGAAAAACTGCATCATTTTTTATTTATTTTTTTGGAGGAAGTGAGTGGAGGCATTTGCACACAAGAAAGTGGAACACACCAAAAACAAATAGAGCGGTCAGCAGAACCAACCTCAAGCTCGTAACATTTCATATGCCAACAAACAAAAGAAGAAGAAAAAAAAAAGGCTCAAATGCAGTATAAAGGTATTACTATAGATTCCAACAAGTAACATTAAGCTCATAATTGAATTTATACCTTTGATTGCAACTTCACGGAAGTTGGTCTTGGTATTGGAGTACAACCTCTTCCACTCATCCAGTATCATCTTACTTGGGGGCAGTAGATCAAGAGGATTTTTTGCTTTAGGCTTTGGTGCCTCCTCCTCTTCCTCAACATCTTCTGCTTTGGGCTTTGCTGGTTCTTTCTTGGCTTCTTTCTTTGGCTCCTCCTTGGGCTTTTATTTAGCAGCTTCTTTAGGTTGAGTAGGCTTCTTCGCAAACACAACAGTTATGATCTCTGCCTGTTTTACCTCACCTATTACCTTTTTGAAATTTGGTTGGTTAACCATGGTCCAATAGTATCTCTCAACATGAGGGAACTCAGCAGTAAAGCTCTTAGTCATGACATTAGTGAATCCCGGAAACAAGTTACATGTCATGATAATGTCAGCCAGGGTCACAGCATGACCAACCAGGTAAGTATTTGAAGCCAGATGAACGCTCAAAGCACCAAAAGCTCTCTTCAATGCAGCAATCGCAGCTTCCTCAGCCTTCAAACAAAATACATATGGAGTAAAGATAAAATAATTAGAAAAAATTAAAATTAACAAAAAGAAAAAGAAAAAAAAATTACTAGTAAAAATAAAATGTTATTCTTGTCTATACGTGCTAATTGCATTCTGTCTGTTATTATAGGTCCTATTTGTCACAAGGAATGTGGTCGTGACATCCGTACGGTGGTTCAGGGGCTGAATAACAGAAATTGGTTTGTTTTGATATGTGGGTGCTGTGTTGCCTTTGACAATTCCAATATCTTAGAAGGCTTATATGCATGCCAGATTTAAAGTACAGACAACAAAATTAATTAGTTACCTTAGCCAGACAGTCTGAAAAAAGATTTTAATTAGACATGAATTTTCCAAAAAATCTTATTTTAGTTAAAAATCAATTTGATGCATCTAAAGATGTGGTACACAAACGCATGATGTGCATGGTAAGTAATAAAGGCCAGTGTCATGTCAACCAGCACATACTGAGACATAGGCAAGAATAATACACTGATTGATCAACCAACACAACAATGTGTATGTACTTTGTGTTTATTATTACTGTTGTTTTCTTTTCTAGGATTTTTATTTTCTATATTTTCTACGTGGCACTAGTCCTTGGGGTATGAGGGGTGCCCACGTAATGTCTTGCAATGATCTTAGGTCTGACACAATATAAATGTAAGGTTGATCTACAGGGCTATTCAAAGTTGTACCCTCTCTAAGGAATATCATGCTTTGGAGTTGTGCCTTCACTAAAAATGTTGTTCATTACATCAAGATTCTCACTGAAGGGCCCCTTTTTTCTGAAGAAAAAGCTAATTTCAATCAGTAGTGGGGAAGTTTTTCCATGCATATGAAGTAAAGGCAGAGCTGCAGCCATCCACTCAATACTACTCACTCATATGAATAGTCCTTATAATGCAAGTCTAAATTTTGCAACCTTTGTTTTAGTTTTGCCACAAATTATGACAATCATGGACTGCTAATGTGTTGCATTTGCATCTAAGCAAATGACAAAGCGTTCCAATCTAATATAAACCTTCTACAACCAACCAAGAGGTTAAGTGAGATGAGACAATGCCTCTAGTGATGCAACTGACCTGGCTATTCTTAATAACATTGTAAAGCAAAGTAATAATTGTACAACACCAAATGAAGGGTCATCATCCAGAGCTCGAGACACTTTCAAAGCCTAGATCACCAGTTTTGTAACTGAAAACAAACAAAAAACAAAAATGGCACGAATCGAAGTGTTAATAAACTAATAACTTGTTTCTGTCCAAGTCACAAGTGAACACCCCCAAAAACATAGATTTAAAGAAGAGAGACAGACAGAGAGAGGTAAACCACCACTTCTTCCTTGCCTTGTTGGCAACTAAGAAATTTTTTGTTGGGTGGTAGTATATCTCAAAACTAGCATGTTGTCAGATGAGGAAGCAAAGATGGATTACCTACCACATGCATGCACTCGTTGATAAGAAAATCTTCAAGTTCGCGTACGTTTGTCACATCCAACTCCTGCATCAATATGTCATAGGGCAAATCCTGGGAAAGGACCAAAAATTAGAGCCTGAGAATTTCAATTCTATAAATAATGTTGCCAATTTCGTGTTTTCTGTCTAAAAAAAATAAGAAATACATTTTTTTTTTAATACACGTTTTGAAAACATGTGCGCCAAACATGGTTTTTGCTTTTTAGTAAATAAAATAAAATAAAAATAAAAAATTACAACCTGATAAATTCCAAAAGTAGATATATAGTATAAGAAAAACCTATAGATTGTCTACCACCATATTAGGAAATAGTTTGATAACCATAAAATGAACAACATAAAAAAATAAAAAATAAAAACAAAAAACAAATGCTTTACAAACTATAAAGAAACAGAGTTGTTAGAGAAAATATGACCACACAACAAGAAAATCAAAACAAAATATCACGTATATTTGTAGTTTGTATTGGTAGGGCAGTATAAACTACATTCTAATAATATACATTGTATGGAACTCATCAAAAGAAATCTTGAAATACTAATCTTTTACTTTGTATATGCCATATACAAACTTGACCAATAAATTCTATCAATCAGTTAATGAATTTAACATTTCATTCAACTCCAAAGAGGACTAACAATTTAACATCTCTACAAAGTCCAACACAGTGCAAAGTAACAAAAGAATGAGCATCTTTCTCTAACAATGAGATGAGTCACCCTTGTGAAAATGCATGCTACAGATTTTGATTGGCTATGCCAGGCCACAAGCTAATCAAATTGGTTTTGCCACCAAAGCGATGATTACATTGCAAATAGAAACCCAAGCTCCGAAAAATAAGCACCATGTAGTTCTGAAAACGGCAAATTTTAGTAGTCCTTCCCTTAACTCAAACACTGAAGTTACCAAGATTACTCATCAAACAAGTGAATCAATATATTTCAAACAATTAACCATCAATTTAAGTCAACAAACAAGTTAAAAACATTTGAAAGTTTAAAAACAAATACCTTGTCTGTCTCAGCCAGTGTTAGCACAGTAAGTTGCTTCAGCTTGAGGGTTTGATCAGGAACCAACTGCGGAAGACGACCAGCATTACCTAAAAAATATTCCGTACCAAATTTCAGTCACAGTATTTCAAGTACCCAATCCATGAAACCACTTTTGAGAGAGAAGAATCTATTAATAAATCAAACTGCTTCTGTTTCTGCTTTTAAGTCGATAGTTTTAACTTTCTAAATGCCTATTCATATACATTATAAAAAAGTGACAAAACCTTTCTTTCCATGGACCTCAGGTTGCATGAACAACCCTTTTGTGCTTCAACATTGACCACCTTTGGAAACAATAATGGGACAAAGACACGCTTAAGTAGATGGAGTTAATTTGAAAACTCTTGAAATTGAAATTGAGATTGATTTTTCCATAGGTTTGTTTTATTTGTTTGTTTGTTTTTTTTTTTCTTTCTTTCTTCCTTGCATATGCTTGTGTACACTAACAAAAAAAGAAAAAGAAATGTTAGATAGGGTAAACATGGGTAATGTAGGGCAATAATGCTAATCCTTGATTTTTTCGGCCATATCAGGTGTTTCTTTGAAAGTGTATAATAATAATAATAATAATAATAATAATAATAACAACAACAATAATAATAATAATAATAATAATAATAAGACAGAGAGACTGTGAGCGAGAGAGAGATAACAGACAGACACACCAACAGCGAGAGAGCGAGTGAGGGAGAGAGAGATGGACAGACAAACACACCAAGATCGAGAGAGCGAGCAAGGGAGAGAGAGAGAGAGAGAGAGAGGGAACCTGAGATCTGTGGTTGTGCCGATGGTGCTTTGCGGTGGTGGTGATGGTCATGGCCGTGGCAATGTCTTCCGTACGGTGGGCTGCGGTGAGGTGTTTGTCTTCGGTTTGGTGTCTGATTCTGAGGTTTGAATGTTGTTGTGTGTAACAGAGAAAGGGGCGGGCAGCATTAAAAGAATCCCCGCGCGCGCCCTAAAAATTTTGAAGATTTAGCGACTAAAAGAAAGTTTTGTCGGCAAAAGTGTTATTATGGGCGACTATCCTATTTGGTAGCCATAGGAAAAGAAACAACGACTATTTTATTAGTCGCCAAATGTATATTTGGCAACTAAATCTCCATTTGGTCGGAAAAAATTTGTATTTGCCCACTAAATTTTTTAGTCGCTAAAGATTAACCAAAAAAATATACCTATTTTTGGCTACTACCATTTATTTTGTAGGCAAAAATTCATATATAACGACTAAAAAAAAATTAGTAGCCTAAAATTGAGACTAACGGCGACTAATAAATTTTTTAGTCGCTAAAAGGGTCACTTTTGCCAACAAAAAGGTAATTTAGTCGCCAATAAATAATATTTGCCTACTAAAAAATTTTAGTAGCTAAAAACTGTACCAACGCCGACTAAGACATATTTTAGTCGCCCAAAGTCAACTTTTTGGCGACTAAATTTTGTTTAGTCGCCAAAAGTGGTCGCCGAATGTGCAAATTCTTGTAGTGTACTAAGTCCTAATAGGGACCAACTACTAGATTGACTATCAAGCAAGCTAAGCTTAGATTGTATGATAAGTTCTTAGTGCTTGACAAAACAACGAACTAAAGCTCAAACAGCCTTGTATTTCATATCAATCTAGTGGTCAACCCTTTTTTTTTTAATCCAAATTTGATGCAATCAAGCTTGAACAATTTAATACTTAGCTCAAACAAACAAAATTTGAACACATTTTAAAACTTGTTAAATTTTGAAGCCAAAGTTTAAATAATCTATTATTAGGTCAAATTTCTAATCTCCTATATATATATATATATATTTAACGTTAATTAGCCTATATTAAATAATATTTCAATAATTATTTAATCTATTAAAACCCAACTTAACTCACTATTTGTCCGACAAATTTCCCATAACTTCATTCCGGCTCCCACAACAGAGGAATCCTCGCTCCGCCCGTCTCTAGGCATTATGCAATGTCAGACCAGGTAGTTCAACTAGACCCTCTAATACAATGGGACAGTGATATTTTTCTTATTCCATTCAGTACCATTCACATGGCTGGTTTTGGAACTGTCCGGGCAAACAATCTGGAGGATCCTGGTATAATAACCCTACCAAGCATAGGGTTAGGCCCCTAGATCATGTGAAATTATAACACTCCATAGAAAAAAGACAGAGAAAGAGCCCAGTAAGGTAAGTTACGTTTTGCACTGACGAAAATTGATCCTGAATACTTTTGGATAATGCACAAACACAAATAGGTTCTAAACCCAAGGGCGTAGTTTAGTTGGTAACATTTGGGGTTGTAACCTCTAGGTCTCTAAGCAAAACAAAGGCTCTTGCTTTTTGCTCGGTAATGAGAAGTGGTGCATCTCATTACCCCCAAGTTTGGGTATCTAATCTAACTGGGTGGGGATCCCATAGGTGTCTAATCTATAACTTGTAAGGGGTTGTCTTGAGTTTTAAAATAAAAAAATAAAAAAAAAACAGTTTTCTTTTTGCAAAAATAGAACTGTGAAAAGGAAGAAGAAGAATAGAAAACTTGTCCGAAATTAGTCATGGCTCATTTTGTTCATTTCTCTTCTGAAACAATCTGAAGTATGTAAGTTCTTTTTTCCCCCAAGGAAGAATCAACTGTTCAGATCATCAAAGCCTCGGGTCTAGAAATACAAATCAGAAGTTACCATCATTGCCTAATTTGACATGGATCATCTAATGAGCAAGTTTGCCTACAAGCAGAGACGGAACCAAAATTTTATTACTAGAGGGACCAAAAGAGAAATAATTTTTTTCACCATATATACATAGCACACATGTATGTATATAATTAAATACCATAGAAGTAATTTCTATTAAGATGAATAAGTTTTTTTTTATGTAAAATAGAAAGAGAATTCAAAATGGAAGAAGAATGACATTTTTTTTATACTGGGAGCATTTTATATATAAAATGATATATATATATATATATATATATTTAAAGTTCTATAACAAACAATAATGTTCATAGAAATAAGGGAGTCATGGCCCCATAATCTTCTCCTAGTTCTGTCCTACCTACAGGAGCAAGTGGATAGACCATGGTCATTGTCTAATTTGGTAGACTGTCTAAACCATATGTCAACACCATCTCTACACACCATACAATCTTGAGGTGTCAAGCCATCACTAACTGGCATCCATAACTGGCATCCACTAGAGAAGCAGGTAAGCCAAGGTTGACCTTATATAGAATGGTCGAGAATTAATCAACACCATCGCCAAAAATCCAACCAAGTGATTCTAAATTGATAAATGAAGAGTATGTTTGACACCATCTATATGCCTCCTTTTGATGACACCCGATATGCCTGCTAAGAGATCATTTTATTGTGATACTTAAAGAGAAGCATGTAGGCCAACCTCACACCACTGCACTTTTAAGCTGAGATGGCATTTGAGTCAATCACTTACAGACAAATGACCCATAATGGCCACTCCATGTGTCAAATAATCGTCGCTGACCAATTCACCAATTGCAAGACCCCTTTGCCATATCTATATATATGTTATACAAAGATGACATTTCAACAAAGGTCTTTATTTATAAGAAATGGATATCATCTTAGTTCAACAAAATTCTATGTCCAAACCAAAATTCTATAATCTAAATTCGTATCGTGAATTGAAATGGCCTCATACTAACTGGCATCCACTAGAGAAGCAGGTAAGTCAAGGTTGACCTTATATAGAATGGTCGAGAATCAATCAACACCATCGCCAAAAATCCAACCAAGTGATTCTAAATTGATAAATGAAGAGTATGTTTGACACCATCTATATGCCTCCTTTTGATGACACCTGATATGCCTGCTAAGAGATCATTTTATTGTGATACTTAAAGAGAAGCATGTAGGCCAACCTCACACCACTGCACTTTTAAGCTGAGATGGCATTTGAGTCAATCACTTACTGACAAATGACCCATAATGGCCACTCCATGTGTCAAATAATCGTTGTTGACCCATCCACCAATTGCAAGACCCCTTTGCCGTATCTATATATATGTTATACAAAGATGACATTTCAACAAAGGTCTTTATTTATAAGAACTGGATATCATCTTAGTTCAACAAAATTCTATGTCCAAACCACAGTTGTCAAATCTAAATTCGTATCGTGAATTGAAATGGCCTCATACCGAATCGAATCGAATCGAATCGCGAATTGTAAAGATTTGGTCACTTTTTTTAAATTACTTAAAAATATATATCTACACATTTAGATGTTAAATATATCTTATGAATATAAAATATTTAGACTTAAATCTCTAAAAATGTTATTTTAAATGATAATCACGTAGTTTAATAGGTAAGAAGTTAACAAAGATTCTTATGTAAAATCACCATCTTACCTTTTTCTTTTTTAGAAATTTCTTATCAATCATTCTTAATAAAGATTATTGAAAATTGAGTCAGATTTGACCCGACCCATAACCTATGGAGCGTCCACATGAGTTGTAGATAATTCACACTATTTAATAAATAAGATAATTAAGGAATTATCTAATGAAGTATTTGAGTTGTTGTGGGAGCCTACAACTCCACTTCTATCTGCAGAGATATATATCATATATCTGATATAGAGAAGATATACGTATTATTATTGTGAGATTTTACCCGAAAAATCTCTGCAGAATTTTTCTCTTTGCTCTTCCCTCTTAGGTCACCATTGTAAAACCTAGGGATTTGGAGTGTGGATACAACATTGAGAAACTCTGGTAGCTTCTCAATTGACGGAAGGTTTTTCAGACGAGACTCGTAATTCAAGCATCCGATCCAAACCGTTCCGCTTCAAGTAATATAATTACCCACATATTTTCTTTCAAAGATAATAACCAAATAGACAAACTATCAATTTCTAAAGTAACAATAATTAACAACGATATTGAAATTTGGACAATAAGCATACATACTTTTCTAAGTAACAGTGAGCAAATAATAAGAAAGAATTATTTATAATCTTTTATTTTAAAGCCTAAAACATTTTAAAAGTTATAACATTTTAAAAGTTATAACTGATCTCACACATATAATATTCAATTATATTCAATTTAATAAAATAGCAATAGATAATTCATAGTGTAACTTTAATCTTAAACATCTTTAGAAGATATTGATTTTTTAAAGGGAAAAAAAATGAGAAGAAAGGTTAAAAATATGTTGGGTCTGACTGAGGTCTTGTTTGTCATAACCTAAAAAGCTAAAAAGTCAAAAAGTTACTATCCTATTTAAGTCACATCATCATATTTAAGTCACATCATCTCTCTATCACATCATTTCAAACCCATAAAAAGTCAAAAAATACACTTATTTAGATCATCCAAAACAACCCCTGAATCTGATTCGATTCTATTAAAAACTCCATGATCATCAAAATAACTACAAATCATGTATATATGTTGATTATTTTGGTATTAAATGCTATTAAAAGTTGTGTTATGCCATTTTCACTAAAAAGATGAAAAAAAAAGTCAAAAATACACCGGACACAATAATTAGAAAAATTGCATGAATTGTAAAAAGTGAATCGAATCGTGAATCGATTGTGAATCGTGCGATTCACTTCCAAAATAGATTCGTATTGATTTTGCAAAAATTACGAATCATAAGATTCTGATAATAGAGATCCAAACTCCAAAGCATGACTTTATACCACCAACCAAGCATTAAATATGTTGGAACATTTAAAGAAAAAATATAGATCTTAGGATTACTCTAAAGCTAATTTTTTAGTACATAACTTTTAGATAATTCTCACTTTATGGTGTGGTGTGAACCCTTTTGTCAAATTACTCTTTTAAATTCATTTCTAGTGCCCTGAGAGATGCCCTTTTGAACTTCAAAGAGAATAAAGGGAGCATAGCATATAGATGAAGTTATACATACCTTCAGATGTCTCATGGAATGGTCCACTCATGTTATTAGTAGGATGTTGTCCTCAATTTGAACTTTAGTTCATTGTTGCCTTCTGAAAAACAAGATGGCATACGCATCCAGGGGCCTCTGCAGTTTTCAACTGCCCATGTCTGTCACTAATCATTTCCATCCAATTCGTAAGTTGGCAACTTGGCAAACGAATTCTCATAGTTTCCATAATGTAGTTGATGTTCCAAAGCTCGTTTGTATTAGCCCTGCAATGACATTGTGGCATATGGCCATGAAAAAAAATACAAACAAAAAAGAGAGAGGCTAGAATAAGAGAGGAATACAAGTGCAACCATACAAAAGGCTAGATTAACATGGGGTGTTGCATAGCACAGCAACAAAAATGAGCAAAAAAATTGACAGGGTTCTAATTTCACTAAAGGATAAAGCACATGCACAACACAATAGAATCAGAAGGAAAAACTGTAGTCACCTGCAAACATCATGGCAATTTTATCAATAATCTATAGCAATGGTGCCAAATCCCAGGTTTTAGGATCTAATATCAAATACCTTCACCGTATTCCTACAATGAATCACCTAGAGTTGTAAAATGGGATACAAATCTTCTTACAGGTAGCAATGCAGATGCGCATCAAGGAGTTACAATGCCTATTTAAATCAGTTCAAATTCTGAAACAACATTTCTATATCATTGAAATAAAATGCATGTCGCTCTATTCATAGTGAGCTGAGTCTACTATAAACTAGCCAATGCTTCCGCATCAAACGGCCATTTGTTTGCTTGAAATATGATTAATTAAATATATAGCTTATTTATTTTTATTAGGGTAACCTCCTGATCAGTTTAACTATAATGCATTGCCTTTGCCGATATATGAAAAGAAATTAACTGGTAGGATCACCATCAAGGCTTTTTGGTGTGAAGCAAAGTCCCACATCACTCGAGTACTAAAATAATGTTAAGCATATAAGCGTGAGGGAACAGGTGGAGTAGGATTGATAGATTTTTGTTAGATGTGAAGTGGATGGAAAAGTTTTCCTTTAAGCAACGGGGTCTCCCAAGGTCAATCTCAGATCATTGCCCTATTCTGATAAAGGAAGATGACAGGGATTGGGGACCAAAGCCTTTTAAATTTATCAATGCCTGGTTATCCCATCCATCCTTCATGTCAGAAGTGAAGAAGAGGTGGGACGAAGCTCAGGTTCAAGGATGGGCAGGGTTTAGAGTCATGAGAAAGCTGAACTTGCTTAGGAGCCACTTAAGGGTGTGGAACAAAGTTGTGTTTGGAAATATTGATACTCAGTTAAAGAAGGTAGAGGAGGAGCTTCATGAATGGGATTTGAAGGCAGAGTCTAGATCCCTACAGGAATTGGAACTGAAGAGAAGAAGAGAAGTTAGGAGCCAGGTGTGGCAGCTTAGTAGAAGCAAGGAAAGGCTATGGCATCAAAAATCTAGGCAGATGTGGGCTCATTCCGGTGACAAAAATACTAGGTACTTTCACATTATGGCTCGTAGAAGGCAGGGAAAGAATTTGCTTGACTCTGTTGTAGTGGAGGGTAGGTGTGTGGAGGATCCGGATCAGGTGAAGCAAGAAATGGTTAGGCATTTCAGTCAACTGTTCTCAGAGAATTGGAAAATTAGGCCAAAAATTCTGGGCCCTTTTGCTGTTATTAACTCTGTGGATGTTGTTACTCTGGAAGCTGTTTTCTCTGAAGAGGAGGTATGGGAAGCAGTGCAAGACTGTGATGGGAACAAAGCCCCAGGTCCAGATGGTTTTAACCTTAATTGTATTCAGAGGTGTTGGCCTATATTGAAAGGGGAGATCTTAAGTATGGTGAATGAATTTCACCAAAATGGCAAGCTATCTAGAGGGGTTAACAGCTCTTTCATAGTTCTTATTCCTAAGAAGGAAAATCCCATAGGCTTGGGGGATTATAGACCTATAAGTTTGGTGAACTCTGTCTATAAAATTTTAGCAAAAGTGCTTTCAAGGAGGCTTAGGAGAGTGTTACCATCTGTGATTAATGAGGTTCAGTCTGCTTTTGTGAGTGGTAGGCAAATTTTAGATGGTGCGCTAATAGCAAATGAAGTTGTAGATGCATGGAAAAGATCAAAAAAGAGAGGCATAATTCTAAAATTGGATTTTGAAAAAGCTTATGACTCACTCAATTGGGAATTTCTGTGGTCGATGATGAATAATTTGGGATTTGGTGAGAAATGGTTAGTTTGGATGAGGAATTGCATTTCTACAGCCAGGGTTTCTGTGTTGGTTAATGGCTCACCTACAGAGGAATTCCAGCCACAGAAGGGGCTAAGGCAGGGTGACCCCCTTTCACCTCTTTTGTTCATAATTGCAGCAGAAGCTCTCAACCTTTTATTAGCAAGGGTAGTAGAGAAGGGCTTGTTCAGAGGAGCCTTAGTTGGTGGTAATGGTTTGCGCATCTCTCATCTCCAGTTTGCAGATGACACTATAGTGTTTTGTGAAGGAGATCAGGAAGAGGTGCTCAACATTAAAAGGGTGTTGAGGTGCTTTGAAGTGATGTCTGGATTAAAAATAAATTACCATAAGAGTGCTGTATGCGGAGTGGGTTTCCAAGAAGATGAAATTGTGGGTTTAGCCCAAAGATTGAATTGTCTATCGAAGAAATTACCTTTTAACTTTTTAGGACTGCCTCTAGGGGCCAATCCTAAGAGGAAGAGCACTTGGAACCCCATACTGGATAAGGTGAGTAAGAGGTTGTCTTCTTGTAAGAGAAAGCTTCTGTCTTTTGCTGGGCGTTTGACATTAATAAAATCAGTCCTATCTAATTTGCCTATTTACTTTCTATCTATTTTGAAGATGCCTAAAGGGGTTGTTAAGGCTCTAGTTAAAATCCAATCCAATTTCTTGTGGGGTGGATCTAAGGCTGGGAGGAGTGTTCACTTGGTTAATTGGGGTGAGGTTACTAAGAATAAAAATCAAAGGGGTTTGGGTGTGAGAGATTTGGGTGAGGTGAATGATTGTATGTTGTTAAAATGGTGGTGGAGATTTGGTGCAAAGGATAAAGCTTTGTGGAAATCAGTAGTATGCTCTAGGTATGTCCGTTTCGGAGGGGGTTGGGTACCAACTTTGCACAACACTGATGGGGCGTCTGCGGTGTGGAAGGATATAGTGCAGCTCAATTCACTTAACCAGTCTTTGGGTGTGTTTTATAACCAGAATTTAAGGTTATCAGTGGGAAATGGAAGGAGGATTCAGTTTTGGACAGATGCTTGGCTTAATGGTAGAGGTCTGAATGAGGAGTTTCCCAGATTATTCAGTCTATCCACTGAGAAGGAAGAATCCTTACAGCAAATTAGTGCCAAGAAGAGCCTTGGGGTGTGGCAGCTCCAATTCAGAAGAAGGCTGCTGGCATGGGAGGAAAAGGAGCTGCAAAGGTTGTATGTCGTTCTGGAATCAGCGCCTGAGCTTAGGGTGCCAGCTGGGGTCTGGGCAAGTCTGGCTCCTTCAAAGATGCAGTTTCTCTGCTGGCTTGCTTGGAGAGGAAGAGTTAAGACATCTTCCTTCCTCCAACGGATTGGGATTCTACCTCCCAATGCACAGATCCAGTGTGTGTTTTGTCAATCTGCGGAGGAGTCTTTGGAGCATGTGTTGCTGTTTGCCCTCTGGTTTGGAGGTGCTGGGCAGCCATGGCTAGCTGGTGGGATCAGAATTTGGTCATCCCTAGTTCTGTTGAGGGTCTGCTCCAATGGTGGTGTAGACACAAATTTTAAAACATGAAGTGTTTCAACACATTTCAAAATTTTATGTTACAAATGTCCACTGTTTAGTTTTTTGACTAAACAGTGTTGATTATTTGAATAGCAGGTTCTTATTTTCGATCTGTATTTCAGATCGTTAATTACACATTTTATACAAATGAAACCTCCGATTAATAAAGAACAAAATAAACAACAAAAGACAATTTTTAAAAAAAAGAAATATTTTATTGAAATTATTATGGGTTTTGAACCCTCGAATACAAAAATACAATTCTTGGGTTTGGAACCCTTTACCTATTCATCGCCATTAGCGTAGGCTCTTCAGTTCTCTAGGCTTCTCTTCTTCTTTTTTTGTAACGACTTCTTTAGCTCTCAATTTCTTTCTCTCTCTCTCTGATCTTTTCCCTTCTAATTTTCTGATCCCCCGTCTTGTGTGATGGTCCTCATATTTATGGAGGGCCATCAGGTAATAGGACTGCTTCATCTTCAATTTGAATTTCAAATTGAATGATAGCGTCTATTTGAATTTTGAATAATAGCGCTATCTGATTAATCGTATATCTGATTAACCGGATTGATCTTTGGGGTTTCATCCTGTGTGCTGTCCTTGCTGTAGGCTCTACAGGTGTCATCTTTCGTAGGTTCCACGTGTCACTTGCGCATCTTGAATAACGTCGTTGAGATACAACGTTGTTTTATTTATGCACTTCAACGGATCATATTGATCTTTTTAGGAAGTGATTACCTACAACCTTCCTATCATAGACTCTATACGTGTCATAAATTTAGTTGAAATTTATGTGCCAACAGGTGGTCTGGGGGTAATGCAAAGTCTTGGGTAGATGGAGCTTGGCAGGCAGTTCCAGCACTAGTGCTGTGGTCAATTTGGAAGTTAAGAAACGAATGTCTATTTAAGGGGGTCGCTCCAGATTTTGCAGGATTATGTGAGAGGATGAAACTGCAGATTGCTCTGTGGGTGAAGTGGTCCTTCAAGGTTGATTATTCAGTCCATGATCTTGTCTCAAACCTATGCCAGATTAGGCTGCTCGCTTGAAGTCTCCTCAGCAATCGGCTCAGGCAGTAGAGAGGTGTGGAAGTGCTGGGCAATCATGGTTAGCTGGTGGGACCACTCATGGGTCATCCCTGGCTCAATTGAGGGTCTGTTACATTGGCGGTCAGGAGGTCTGTGTGAAAGGACGAAATTGCAGGTGGCAATGTGGGTCAAATGGTCCCTTCAGGTTGATTTTTCTGTCCATGATATTATGTTCAACTTTCACCAGATTAGGAAGCAGGTTTGAAGTTTATCAGCTTGGGTTCTGGCGGTAGAGAACTAAGCCTTTGTGTATCTTCGTGGTCTGCTCTGTGGGTTCTGAGTGATGCTAGATCAGTGATGGTTTTGCTGTTAAACTTGCATGTTGTTTGATCTTTCAGCTGTTAGTGCAGCTCTTCGATTTGGAGCTGGAGGAGCCTCCTTTTGTTCTTTGTGTGCCTTTTCTTTGGTGCTCTGGCTGTTTTGTTCCTTTGTTCTGATCTGTGTGTTAGTTTCTCACCAACAAGGAGGTTGGAGCTTCTTTTAGCTCCAAGCTCCTCTTTATTGATGTAATACTTTGGTTTTCATCAATAAAGCTTTTTATTTGCCGATCAAAAAAAATATAAGCGTGAGGGCACCCTCACCTCTAAAGCTAGCTTTGGAGGTTGAGTTCTATTCAAGACCGTGTAACATTTGGAACTACATACAAATTGCCTAGTAGGGTAACTATCAAGATTTTTTCCAACTCAGTTAACACTAACTTGGTCCATTAGCTTTGGAAAGGCTTAATCAACACCCATTCCAATCTAACCCATTTATGTGAACCTTTTGATTCATAAATTAATATGCTATGCTTCCTCAAAGACACCTATGCAAGCTTTCCTCAAATCTTCTTTTAACTATTTTCTTCTGTCTTCTCTCCTAAGTCCACCAACCACTAGTTCACCTTCAATGCTACTAGATAAATATTCATAATGACATAAGTAGTACGAATACTTAATCTAGGCTTTTTCCAAAGCCTGATTTAATTTCCTAGTGGTGTGGAGATAGTGAACATGATACCAATTATAGCATCAATAAAAGAAATTTGTGTCTTTATTCCATAAAATAGATTGTTAAAGGGACATTAATCAATAGAAACAATTTTAAAAAAGATGATGTTTACGGTTACCTAATCAACCAGAAAAATAAAATTTCCTATTGGTGGAGATAAAATTAACCATATCCAATGACCAATCAATTATTTGGCACTAATTATTGTCCTGGTCATGGCAGCATCAATTATGTTTGTTAATTTTAGGCCACGTTCGTTTCATGGCATGGGATTAGAGGGGATGATGGCAAATGAATACACCATAGGATTAATATATATCATGGGATTACTGTACTATACTGATTAGGGTAGGATAAAGGAGGAAGTAAGGTTTGATTTTTTTTTTTGGGCAAGTATATTTTTTTGGCTATTAGATGGAGGTTGACAGATATTCCATAGGTAGTAGGGATCATTTATCCCAAGCTGAAGTGGGATTAGTTATCCCTCATTTTGGAGGAAAATTAATCCAGTATGACTACTAATTCACCCTACTTTGGCCAAGCCAACCAAACAAGGGATTGGAAGGGATTGGGGAACAAGAGGAGAAGACGAGGGAGCAGCTAAGCCCCACACCCTAATACACCTCCTTATCCCAATAAACAAATGTGGCCTTACTTGCAATAAGATAGTCAAGATTGTAAACGGACATTATTTAGTGGAACCAAAGGTTGTGAGTCCGAACCTAAGAACAACCACTTTATGCAAATAATACTACAAGGTTAGGTCTGTACCCATTCTTTCTCTCCAAGACCTTCATCTAATGGAGGCTATACTGGTGTAACTTTTAAAAGGCAGCTTGGTACAATGGCATGGCTTGCTGTTAGGTAGTGCAGGTTCAAATCATGGAAACAACCTCTCTAGAAATAGGAGTAAAGTTGTGTATATTTTGCCCTTCCCAGACCCCGCTTTAGCGAGAGCCTCGTGCACTAGGTCTCGCTTTTTTTACAATGTCAAAGCAAGAAAGAGTTGTCTTTATAGGTCAAGAGGCAAGTAACAACTCATTTACATCCATAGGTCAAATTTTGGAATTGGGAGCTATTCAGGCCCCGTTTGGGAATTTGCTATTTTATTTGAATTTTTGACTTTTACGAAAATATGTACAAAAAAATAAAGAGAGTGATGTAACAACTTGTAGTAGTTTTTTGGCTAAAAACCATGGTCCCCAAATGGGGCCTCAATATCAAAAAATTCAGAACACTGAAAAGTACTGGGTTTGGATTTTAGAGAGCTTACAAAATAGATTTAAGTAAAAAAATGTGAATGCATATTTCCTCAGGTACTCTTATATGTAGATGTTATGGCAAAGGCGAAGATGAGAAAAACTAAAGCAAACCAAATACACAAGCACATGAGGATTTACAGGGTTCAGGAATAAACCTACATCCAAGGGTGTAGAATGATGACAGAATTTAACTATGATCGTGGAGATTACAATGAGCCAGCTCTCTCTCTCTCTCTCTCACAGCCCTCTATTGAAAACTCACAAGATCATCACAAATCCTAGAACCCTGAAATAACCTAATATATACAAGGATTTGAAAATAGCAAACCAAGTCAAAATAGATCCAAATACAAATATTGGGTCGGGCCTATCATTAATAATCCATGCAAGTCATCAACTAGTTATAAGCATCATCTGGGTCGAATTCAAGACACACCCACAACAATAAAGTTGTTTGTGGGGTGCACCCAATTCCTTAAAATGCCATAAACCTGTACCTGAAGGGTCCTCTTTTATGAAAAAGCTTACATTCATGACAATATGACTGACAGGCAATGAAAGAAGATGACCTGATCACATGTGGCAAGGTCATCGATCCAAGCCAAAAGAAAACATATGGTAGTTAAGTGGCAATACTAAACATTGATGGTAATGCCTAATAACATATTTTCACCAATCATGAGCAGAAAACGAGGTTATTGCTTATTGGAGTTGGGTTGCTACGTTCAGCTAATATATTGTAATGAAAGCACCACAGAATGCAACATAGCTTAAAGTGTTCAGTTAAGATGTCAGAGTTGGTCAAACCTGAAATATCACCAAATCCAATGAGAGCATGGACTGTGAAAAACCCAATAATACATAAGTTGGTTGCAAATAGAAACACGTGCAAAAGTATTGTTGCTGTCATAGTTTAGCTGCAAAGATAAAGAAATCTGTGAGAAGAACTAAAGACACACAAATGCAACACTGTGTTTTTAACACTAAAAATTAAAGGGAAAAAATAAAAGAAAAAAGAAAAAGAGATGAGGGTCCTTTTAGTTAGAACTTTCCTCTGAAAGGTGGACCTACCATAAAGCACTAGGATTGAACTTTTGGGTCCCTAATGGAAAAAAGATCTTCTTCTTTGTCATATTATCTTTGAATTGATTAGGGTCCAACAAAATATTCTCTAGACTCCATCTGCTCATGTGGGCAGTTCTGATTAGAATACTGAGAATGGAAACTCCATTGTAATGCCATGCAGAAATGCATGTGCATAAACATGTCACATTGGGAAGGCCAATGGCATAACTATAAGAATTAAAGCAAGTGCACTGGCAGATAGAATCTTCTGCTTGTGGGGTCTTGAACCCACTCCCCATTGGCCACATGATTTGGTCTACACAAAATAGCCAACCCAAATCTAATAACTTTCTCTATGTTTCTCTCTACCTGCCTCAATCTCAGGCACTTTTAGAGGCTTCCAAGACACATATCAAATAGTCACACCACACATTCTGAAAAGAGCACCTTCTCTCACTTCCTCCTCACTGCCAAAGTAATCTAAATCAAGTTCTTTGAAGAAAGATCACAAAAATGAAGGTAACCACAATTTCTATTGAACTTTGGAAGACAAAAACTGTTTCCAGTATTTTATGACTTCATATTTGCATATCTTGATTGCAGTTACTTGGTTGGATGCATCGCAAGTTAAGGACTAGTGAAGCACTCAAGGATTTTGCCATTGGGGTAAGTCATGTTTCTAATCCGACCTCTATGAGTTGAGTTGGTTCGACTTTTTCAATATATTGGTTCGGCTCTAGGTCTTAAAATCATCAACCCGACATGAACGGGTTGGGGCGCTGTTTAAGCCACGCTTAAACTGAAGCAATCCAAGATCCGAATCTATATATATTGCATAAAATTCTAATGTTGTTGACATGTCTTTATGTAATTGGTCTATTGCAAATACTAAGGTGGACTTGATTGCACCTGATCATTTCATAAATAAGAGAAACGTAATGTGTAATATAATCTTTCATTTCCTACCTTCATCCACTACACTACTACAAGCTGAGCCGCTGCGGGTGATTTCTCTATTCTTGGCAATCGTCTCCGAACAATATTTTGCAAACAATATTAAATTTTAAAACAGTACTTTGTTGCTCTATGTCTGTGTTACGTTAAAATGTTTAAGATTTGTTTATTCTAATCATTTATTGCTGATTGATTCACTTATTTTAGTATAGTGGAACTACGGTTCCAACCCAAACAAACCCGATGCTAAATCGGGTTGGCTTGGTTTGGTTTTGGTTCCAGTGCATGATTGGTTCTGTCCTGCACCCAAAAACCTGGGACTGATCATGATTCGTTTGGTTCTGAGTTTAAGGCTAACTAGAACCAAAGCAACCCATGTGCACGCCTAATCATATTTTTTCCAATGGTAGTCATATTCACCTTTATCCCAATTATTTAACATTTCTTCAGTCATGGAATTCTTCTAATTGTCTTTCAGAGAAGCCATCACTGGATGAGCAGCAGTACGACATGAAGGCAAACTATGGTACTAAGACCTTAGGCAAATCACAGAGATGCAACCATCTTCGAAAATCATTTGCCATAGAAGAAGATAACTTTGAAGAAGAGTCATCGGCTGCGATTTCTCAGCTCTTCCATGGCTTCCTTACCATTGGTACTCATGGTTCAGACACAGTCATCGCTGACCCATCATCAACACCAACATTCGCCATCTCTGTTGAGAACATAACTGAAAAAGAAATAGAAGTAACAGAGCATGATTTGAAGCTGATTAATGATGAGTTGGAGAAGGTGCTAGGAGTTAAAGGTAAAGAAGATGGTTGCAATGACTCATCTGGGAGAAACAGTCATGTTAGCACCATTACACTGAGTGGCAAGACATTGGAAGGCACAGAGACCAGTGGGAACAGAACAACAATGTGTCCACTCCAGGGCTATCTGCTTGGGTCTGCGATTGAGTTGCCAGAAACAAAGAAGGAACATAGAACATCACTTGGGGAGCTGTTTCAGATGACAAAAATGACAGAGGAAAATTCTGTCGCTAAATGCGAGAGCGGAGAAAAAGAAGGCAGACAAGGAAACAAATAAATCTGCTATACGTCTCATGAAAAAGATACTGAAGAAAAGAATGGTCCATGATTCCTCTCGGACCTCCACCACAGTGACTGGGGGAAATGTTATCTCTGCTTCATTGGAGACGAAACTGCATAAGGTATGTCTACTTCTAGTACTGAATGATAGATCTTCTAGATGGGATATATGGAGCACTGCAACTCCTGACATAGTTTTGTTGGGATCATTGCAACATCATCTGTGATTTGCTTACAAAGAACATACTGTGTAGTGTGATCAAACCAATCAGATGATTTGCATCATCCAATCATTAACATTGCAAGATGGTTCCTCCATTTCTCTGGATACACTTTAAGTCCTAATATGTGCTTATAACTGAATATCTCTAATCCTACAGTACTAGGAACATGAATTGTTCTGATACGAGAAATAGAAATGCGGTATCTAACATGCTCAGTACGATACTGGTTGACTTGTTTTGATCACACTATTAGTATTAAAGGTACTCAAAAATGCTATATTACAAGAACTCAGGTACAGTTGTTGGCTTTTGAGCATGTGCTTAAGCTTCATATTTGTCTAATTCCCATGTCCAAGGACATGAGAGCATGGTAAAGTATTGCTAATTTTTAATATCCTCCTTTTATTTTCAGGGTAAAATATAACTTACAATGTGATATATAGAATTTCATACATAATATAAGAGTTTTATGCATAATTATATGTAAACTCAAATTCCTAAACATACTTTGAATTCTGCGTTCAGTTTTTTAATTTTACAATTTGCTGCACGCAGATCCTCCACATGTTCCACAAGAAAGTCTATCCTGAAAACTCAACTTCTGCATGGAAATCAGATAAGCCCCACAAGAATGAACCAAAGAACAACATCACCTATGAGGAGGGGTACTATGACGGAGATTATACGCACCCAGGGGAAGATATCATAATATTTCCCCATACAGCCCTTTCAAAAGAGAGCATATGATGCTTCAAGAGACACTCAAACCCATCACAACTCACAATCAGTGGAAGCAATTCAAATGGGAACAGCGAAAACTGGATCAATACAGATGCAGACTGTAAGTACACATATAGCTACCTTTCCCAAAATCTATTTTATGCTCCAGACTTCATGGTGATTATAATTTGATTATAGAAACTAAATTCTGAGCCCACAGAAGTTGGCATTTACACTATCACTTTTGGACTGATGAAGTTGTACATCCTTCAACTTCTATTCTTGATAAGGACAAAGGAAAGACTTAGTTTATGGGTTCTGTCAGATATAATGATCTCCTTCTAACTGGCCTCATGTATTATGGATTTAATTATTCGAGTTGTGCAACTATTTTGGTTATTAGTCTGATTCAATTCTATTATTTGCACTGCAGACTTCGTGCTGGAGCAATAGAAGGAAGAAGCGCTCTTAAAGTGCGGTTATGATATATTGGCATTAAATAGTAATCATTTGGCATTATGTTATAATTTTTAAAAGGAATATTGAAATGGCAGTCGAGTTCCTATTTCTTACTTGACCAGGAAAAATTGAAAATTGGCTCAATTTTTGTAAGTCAAGACGCACCCGTTGCCCTCCAGAATGCTCAACACTGTCAGAGAACTAATAACCATATTTAAACAGCAAAGGTGTAGAGATAACTAATAGCATCAAAGGAGAATAAGTAAATGACACACCTAAAGGTGTTTACCTTGTACAATCCAAATGAAATTCATATCCCATCTTAAGATTTATCTAATTGGTAATTCCGATCATGAAAGTTTAGTAAAGTTAAGCTACCAAGGAACTAGGTATATTGAGGCAAAGCATTGGCCAAAATCAAGTGCCATATGCCCAACTGGGGAAAGCAGTAGACAGTAGTTCCCTTGACAACATCTTGAGCACATTGTCTAATAAAAGGACTTTTTAGCTTACACAATAACGAATTAGCTTACACAATTAATGCAGGACACAACACAACATTCCTGATGAACGCCTAGGGGGAAACTAAAGGACAAGACCAATAGTCTTTACCTGCTTTGCAGCAAGACAGGTTTCTCCTTCAAATGGCCTTCTTCTTCACAGCAGATCATGCCAACTGCAAATACACTTTTCTGAAATAATAGGTTCCATGAGAAGCATAGATATGTTGTTTGATTAGCATACAAACTCAAATCAAAACTAAATCATATTAAAAAAATGCCATAACAATTTGGGAAGTGCTCTAGTTGTACCTGAATTTCCATTTTTTATTTTCTTTCAAAACTACCCTCATTTAAAGGCTCTCTCCCACTCCTCACACCAAACAGTGTAAATTCTCCATTTTTTAAGATTGCAAGTGTGTGCGGATAAGAGAGAGGTAGAAATGGAGCAACTATATTACCTGTGAAGCAACTGTAGGGTCAATTGGTTCCTCAAACAGACCAGAAGCAACAAGTGCTGTTGCATGCTTTCTAATGTGATTTTCGAGGAAATTGAACTAGATCATCAAAAAGACAAAGTTAGTACTTAGCACAATAAGTTAAAACATCTGTGCTATGAGATCCATTTAGTACCTTGTCTTCAACCATCGGTGATAACCTCCGGCAACCTCTGATGATCACTTCCGGCAACCTTCGGCGCTCACTACTGTCACTATCTCCTAAGATCTGATGACGACAGGAGAAGAAAAAGAAAAAAAAAAGTAGAAAAAGAAGAATAATGATAGAGAGAGAGAGAGAGAGAGAGAGAGGATAGAGAGGAAAAGGAAAAAGAAAGGCCTTAGTAGAAAATTGTTAGCCTTTGTATTGTAGATCAACATAACCATAC